CCCCCTTTATCATACCATGCCACTACGGATGTGCGAGATATCCCCCCCCCCCCCCCAATGCATTTATCCCCTTACTTTCATCCGTGATCATGATTCCTGGATTTCCCACTTCCCTACGGTCTGCTGCTCCTTTTCAACTTTCGAGTGTTGGAACTTGAGAGGTGAAGTGTCCAGGGTTTCCCCCCCTTGCGTGCCTTTGCCATTTCTGTATTCCTTGGCTTCTCTACTGGCTGTTGGTACGGATTTCTCTCATTGCGGCCGTCCCGCAAGATCAACCAACAACCGCATTTCGAGGTGGCCCGGGTGAGGTGGACTCGAACCCCCCTTCCGGGACGCCGATCGCATCGATCCCCTTACCAATCGAAGGGGGGGGGGGGGCCTAGTAACTTATTGGTGTGACAAGCTCTCCGCGCAACCTACATATCTACATGAGAAGTACACCAAAATTTGAAGGCTTCTCGAGATTGTAACCCTTAATTTTTTTTTTTTTGACCTGTAATCAATATGATTATAGACCATGGAAGTGAGAGACTCACTCAACCTCCTGGTAGCCATCCAGATGGAAGGGTTACTTGCAATGTTTCCACGTACATGTAGTTTGAGGCGATGAGATCTGCTCTGCAGGGTTAACAGGTTTTGCGGGGGCCAGATGTAATCGCGTCCGAAAGGGCTATATACATAGTATATAACCTGGAGGCGATCCTGTTGATCACATCCCGTCTCTGAACACAGTTGAAGACGGACGCAGGAAAGGAAACAAAACTTAGCATTTGGCAAAGTGTACAACTATGGAACTGAGAGACTTTCAACTTAAAGAAGGACAGTTCGCTGTGACCTGCTTATACAGTAAGTTCCTGGAGAGCCCACCGAGTAGTCAAGTGCGCATAGTCAGTCCACTGCCATACGCCTGGCGAGACATACATATCGTGACCGTTCATGTTAAGTAGCCCTAGAATTCTGTACATGCAAAAGAAGCAAAGTATGTACATTCAAGTCCAGATCAAATCCCCCGTAAGTAGACATCGGGGGGAGTCAGTGACCTGAAACTCAATCGCCTTCAACGAAGAGCAGCTTCAACGAAACCGAACTCGTCTGACCACGCCCAAAGGCTGAAACCCCCGGTAACCCAGAACCACCACATAGGGGATACCTCTCTCTCGTCCCTGTGTCCGTGTTCCGGACGAATAATGTGCATTTTTCTCAAGCAAACCACCTGGAAAACGCCATGCCTGATTTTTTTTAGAAATCCCTTAAACCCTCCCTATGCAGCCATAAATGCCCTTCTAACATCCTTGTATCATGAGAATCGTGTCCATCGTTTTGTACCGCACCAAAGGCGGCTGGCCGGTAGGGGCTTTCTCCTTGTTAGGCGAGGTAGCGATACGTCGGCGTCGAGGCATCCTCTACGCGCTCCAGATACTCTCGCACAATCAAATCCTCGATTCGCTTTTTGATAAGACTAATCTCGGGTTTGAAGCGACCGCTGAGTTGGTCAATGACCTCTGTAATGAGCTGCGAGTGACCAAGTTCCTTGCGTTGCCTATGATGGGGTTAGTGTATGCAAGAGGATAAGCCAAGTGGTGAGTAACGTACTTCATGATGCGGACAAGAGCGGCATCGATAACGTGGGCTCGAGTCTGATTGTTCTTCTCTTCGGTTGCCTTCCGTTCTTCGTCGCCCTCGACCTTGCTGGTAGCGTTGATGATGGGCGCCTTGATGCGGACAGTCTTGCTGACGAAAGAGGCGTTGAACTTGAACTTGTCGCCGGCCTTGATGCCCTTGGTAGCGGGTTCCTTGGCGAGCACTCTGGCCTTGGGAACGATGGCCACAGAAGTTAGAGTTCTCGCGAGATCTGACATCGGGATGTTGGTCTTGGCTTGGATTTCCTCAAGCGAAAGCTCTTCGCCCTCCTCGAGTTCGTTGAATAACAACAGCACCACCATGCCATACGTCGGCACGTTAATCTCGTACTTACGCTCTCGCGCCAGGGGTCCCTTGCCTCCTGGAATCGCGGGGAAGGTACACCGAACATCCGCGCTACCGGTGGACCCGAGCCAAGTCAGCTTGCGGCCGCTGCGGTTGGTGAGGTAGTACTTGAGTAAGCTCTCCTGGAGGCGCTTGATATCGTCGGGGAAGATACAGCCACCGCTTTCAGAAAACTGTGACGTGCGACCCATGATCTCGGGAGGCCATGAGTTGGTAGTCAAAATATTTACAGCCAGCTCGATCTGCTTCCGAGACACATCGCCCAGTCCCCTAATATGGTCGCGATAGCCTGAAGTCAGCTCGGCAGACGATTCCATGTCTCTGAACATGCCCTCGAACTTGGCTGTGAACTGGTTGCCCAACTCCTGCTTCATTCGAGAAATCATTGACTTTTCAACATCATGACTTTCCGATTTGTTGTTGAGAAGACGCTTGGCCAGGTGCTTCTGGTAGTAACGCTCAAACAGATCCTTGTCTGAGAGATACCGGATCACAGTAATGGCCTTCTCCAGCACCGCCTCGGTTTCGGTTTCAGTCTTGCCGCGTATGCCGCGTCGAAGATTATCGTCAATGAAGAGCGATACGTATTCGGAGCTCTTGGTAAACATGTTGATGAAGTCGGAAAAGCTCTTGGTGAGCGAGGTTTGAATAATCAAATCCTCTTGGAAGCACTTTTTCCACAAATTGTCGAACTTGTCCTTGAGCTTGAGCACGTCGTCAACCCACTTGATCGCCGCGGCCGTCTGCTGAGCCGATGAGCTCAGCGCCTTCGCCTTCTCCCCACCCTCGTTGTCTTCTCCTTCGGCCGGCGCAGACGCTGCCGAGAAATTGGTCTCCTTGAGCATCTGCTCAATCTCGAGTCCCAGCTCGACCACCCGTGTTGACAAAATCTTTTTGAGAGACGCCTTTTTGGCATCAACCCTCGATACCAGTTGGTAGAGAATTGTAAGCTCCTCCTCACGATCGTAATTGACCATGGACTTCAGCCCACTTCCTTCGAGGTTCAAAAAGTCGTCAAGATGCGCCGAAATCAACTCGTCCTCAACAACCTTGATGGATCTCTCTCTCGTCTCATAATGGATAGTAGTATCGCATCGGTCGTTTTCTTCTTGTAGTCGGCGCTGAGTGTGCCGCAGCCAGGCGCCGGCGTCAGCCTCTCGGAGCAAGCGTTCACACTCACGCTTGTAGTACGCTCGCTCGGAGTCAAGGTATGCGGGCTCGAAGACTGTCAGGTACAGCTTCTCTGCCTCTTGCTCCTCGTCCGACTCGTAGAGAGAGTCGAGCATCCTTATGATGTTGCGCAACAAATGCCGATCGATAGTATCACCATCCCGCTCCATGTTGACGTGATCGAGGATGACCGAGTTGAGGATATCGAATACAGTATATTGACCTCCTGAGTTCAGTGATGCTCGCAGAATATGGTCGCGGAACAGGCCAATCGTAGCGGTGTAGATGGACGGCCGACGAGCATCCTGTGTGTAGCCACGGTCGAGGTACATCAAGATATCCGCCGTCATGTTCATTGACGTATTATGATGCTCCCATGATTTTCTGACACCGCTCAGAAAGTGCTCGCCCATCTTGCGTCGTTCGTTGACCGAAGTAGCCGCACCACCCATTGCAGCACTAACGAGGTTGGCCGTGACCAGCTTTTCGATGTCAGGGATGACGTGTTCGGAGAAGTACTGCTCTTCGAATTGCTTCACGCGGTCGTACAGCATCTCCCCCTTTTTCTTCAAGACTATCTTGTAGGATGCTCGGTAGAGCTGCTCGAATGAGAGTGTACTGCAGTTTTGGTTGTGAATGTCGGTCAGGGCTTGCTTCAGTGTATCCCAGCACTGCTCGAAATCGCTCGTATCGATGCCGGATGTCAACTTTTGTCGTATTAGTTTGCATTCTGAAAAGGCTAGTGGTCATCAAGGACATCCCAGCGGCCGCCTTGCAAGTTGGCGGTTCCTGAACAGCATGTACATGATGTGTGCGTGATGAACAGCGACAAGCATGCAAGGATCACAGTCGTAATAGACATAACACTCTTGGCGGCGCTGAAGCCATCATCACGTAGGACGCAAGAGGCAACAGATACACATTGCAGCTAACAACAGTGGATCATGACTGGAGTTGGGAAGACTTACTCGTCCGGGGCGGCGCGGGGGCCGAATGCGACCGGCCCGCATGGCCGTACCCCCTCCACCTCTACCAGAAATCATCGTGTATGTATCTGTATTTGTCTTCGAGTCGTATCCGTACTATCGCTGCAAAATTCGATCGTGGTTGGCTGATCGTTTCAGGTCGAGAAAGCTATCGTGGGAAACTTGAGTCGGTGGCGGCGGGGTAGCTCTCGTCAGAAAGTGTGGCGGGCAACAACTGAGGGATGCCGAACAAAAAGAGGAGCCAGGCTGCAACGCTTCGTAATGAAATAGAGGTAAAAGGCCGTGAAGAGAGGAAGAAGAAGACAGCCTGACTACAGCAGAAGAGGTTGACCGCGTCAAGGACTGCGGTTTCTGCGGCAGGAGTCGGGGAATTTAATACAAAGCATCTCGAGGAAGGAAACAATCTCGGGATGTAAGTCGCACGTTCAGCGAAAGCCACAGCAGGGCAAGGCTGTGGAGCCCCGAGGCCCCGAGGCCGGAATGATCCGCGCTTCCAACGCGTGAGGCGGAAGGCACGACCGGGCAGTTGGATCCAATCAATCTAATCCTCCATCCTCGCGCCTCACGGCGCTCTAATTGGTTCCCTGGTGCCAACGCTCTACTACGTAGAGAGCCCGCCTGCGCCACAAGTGGCGCTCGTTTCCATCGTTTTCTTTGCAGGGGGAAAAAAATTGAAGAGCAACAGTGACAGTCCAGAAAAAAATGACGGCATTCCCAGTCCACTTTGAGAACAGCTCAGTCAAGCTTTAGCTCTTGTCCTACAAACTTCTACACCAAAGGCTTCCGCAATACATCAGCACAAAGCCATCACCACCACCACTATCATCTCTCCTCCGAAAACGCAGACGACACATCACAATGGCTTCGCGCTCAGCATTCACAAGATTCGCGCCCGCGTTGCGACAAGCTCGCTCGAGCGCCTCACCCTTCAAACGCAACAGCCCAATCCTCTCAGCCCTCCAACAACAACAAAGACCACCTACTCCCCTGCAACCCACAATCGCCGCGCGCTTCGCTCACACAGTCCCGAAGCCCAAAGCAGCGCGCGAAGCCGAGGCAAAGACGCCCGCCCAGATGCGCATGGAGACCTCGCCGCACTACCAGCTCGACTTCACGTGCGTGCCGTGCGACACCCGCTCCCGGCACAAGGTCTCCAAGCAAGGCTACCACCACGGCTCCGTCCTCATCACCTGCCCCTCGTGCCGCAACCGCCACATCATCAGCGACCACCTGGGCATCTTTGGCGATCGCAAGGTCACTGTCGAGGATCTGATGCGCGAGAAGGGCAGGCTCGTCAAGAGGGGCACGCTGGGCGAGGATGGCGATATCGAGTTTTACCCCGACGAGAGCGCTGCTGCTGCTGATGGTGCCGATGCCGAGGCCCAAGCTGCGGAGTCGAAGAAGGATGGGACTGCTTAAAGGCTCTTCTGCTTAAAGGCTCTTCTGCTCGAAGGCTCTTCTGCTCGAAGGCTCTTCTGTTTGAAGGCCCTTGGGGAACGACTGTAAAACTTGTACAACATGTATGGCAGACTTGGTGAGGGCAACCGAGGCCTCGGTTTGCCAATGGATTGGATGACTGCATATAAAGGCGTTCCGGATACCCATCAACACTCATGGGAACACAAAAAGGAGGCGGGACACAATGTAACAATAGAATAGATCTCACATATGAACGGGCAATGCCAGCCCCTATACTATACAAATACTACCCTTTTAAACCCCTCTTGAAAACCCTTTCTTTTTAACCTCCTTCCAGAAACGCCAGCCCATGCAAAACTTCTTTGACGATGATTACCACCCCTTGTACGCCTGCCTCTGCTGTTTGTGCTCCTGGCCTCTGACCTTCTTCCTCTCCTTCTTCTTCTCCGTCTTCTTCCTCTTGTCCCGGCCGTACTTCTCCGGCTGCGCAATCGCCTCAATCTTGCGCTTGCTCGACCTCTGTTGTCTCCTGTTGCGCACCTCCTCCCTGATGGACAGCAGCTGCTTCGTGTACTCGGCCGTGCCAAACTTCTTCTGGAGCGAGTCCATGAGGATCTGCGCCCTCGTTTTGAGCGCCTCGAGCCTGGTCTTGAAGAGCTCGTCCGTCGAGTACGGGACGGGGATATTGGGGTCCGTGAGGTTCTGCAGCGGGTAGAGGATCGTCTTGAACGAGGGGTCGAGGTGGTCCTGGGGGACGCGGCGGCAGATCGTCTCCAACACCTCCATGGCGACCGTCTTGGGCGTGATGGCGGTCGACTTGGGCCGGACGTCCTTGCGTAGGATGGACGAGAGCTTCCAAAACAGGTACTGCAGATCCTTGCGGTGCTCCTCGATTCTGTCCTCTTCCGCCTCGGCTTCGTCGCGGTCGCCGAGAGTGTCTGCTTCGGGCACGGTTTGCACCTTGACGGGTAGGCGGGGACCGAGGAAGATCAAGATCTGCTTGATCTCCTCGGCAAGCGCGTCGTCAATCTCTGGTGTTCTCAAAGCGTACAGCGTCAACCTCACGAGCTCCTCCAAGTCCTCAAGCTCGAGGTTCAGACCGTGAGATCCTTGGAGTACTTCGCCTGCTTTGCTCGACTTGCCAGCGTAGTCCGCGAGGAACGTGCTCAGTACCTTGGTAGCGCTAAGCTTGACCGAGTTCTCGGGGTGTACGAGGCAGCCGCGGACGTCTCCCCAAAGTTCCTTGGACTCGGTAGACAAGAGTCTTGCGGGGTACTTCTCCGTCAGTACCTGAAGGTCGCGAAGAACCGTGTTAACAAGGTCTTCATCGGCAACGCGGATATCGCCTGTACCAATAACCTCTCCAATCTTGGCGAGAACCAACTCCAGCTCCTTCTTGTGCTTGGACGAGGGCTCCTTGGCCTCGAAGAAGAAACCGAAAGCTTGCAGCGCTAGCTTGGTCACCGCTTGATTGTCCTCCTGCTCAACCCATGATCGGAGCAGCGTCATGAAGTTTTGTGTTCTCTCCTTATCGGCCTTGCGGAACATCTCCTTGACTAGTTCTCCTGCAGCCAGACAGCACTTCTCGCTGTCGTCGTTGGCAAGCACCATAACGAGGGGCAAGAAGCAAGTGGAAATGACCTCCTGCACGAAGTCGTCCGCAGACTTCATGAGAAGCAGGTGCACTACCTCCATGACAGACAAGCGTCCGCCTTCGCGTTCGTACGTCAGGTTGGCGACAACGAAGTTGAGCTGCTTCACCCATCGGGCCTTTCTCTGCGGGTAGTCCTTGAGGAATTGGAAGAACGCCCCTCTCGCCAGATCACGCGTATCCTTGTCGTCGTTCGTGATCATGACGGTGCCGACGTAGTCGAGGGTATCGTAGACGACTGCCGTCTCGATCTTGCGCTCGAGAACGGAACGCACAAAGTTGAAGGTGACGTGACGGTAGAGCGTCTCTGTAAGGTCGTCCTTGAGCTTGCCGAGGAGCATGTCGATGGCTGCGTCCTTGACGGGGATATCCTTGCGCTCGCGGAGGACAACCGAAAGCAGCTTCAGAGCCGCCTGCGACAGGTCGGTTGTGGTTGAGGTTGACATAGAGATGCTCTTCGTCGCCTCCTTGACTGCGACTTTGAAGAGCTGAATGTCCTCGTTATTGTTGAAGGGCACCTTGACAAGCACAGTGAGAAGCTTGAAGGCCGCAACCTTGACATCATCCTCCTCGCCGACGATGGCGTCTCCGAGGATGGGCACAAAGCCAGCGATGTTTGCGCCAGTGCGCAGGCTTTCGTACTTCTTCCATACCGACCGGAGGATGTCAAAGGTGAACTTGACAAGCTTGAAGGTGTATTTCCCAGCGGTGCCAGAGTTGTCCTTCTTCACGCCCTTCTGATAGAGGTACTTCTTCAGGCGGAAATCAATCTTGGGCTGCACCTCTGGCTTCCTGCTCTTGTAAACTTCTTGAATAACCTCGTAGCAGAAGACGAGAGTGTCACGGCTCTCTGCAGCCGGGTTCTGCATGAGCCCAGCGGTAATTCTGGCCAGCAGCGTGTCGATCTTGCGGACCAACTTGAGATCCACCTTCTCCATGAGGAGAGATTGCAGAGGGTGGACGAGGACGACAAGCTGGCTGATGGAGGCCGACTTGGCAATCAGCTCCATGGAATCCTGACTCTTGCTTGCCTTGACTTCCTTCATCTCGCTGATATACCCTTCGGCGTCCTTTTCTTGGCCGGTAGCGCCAAAGATGTCGTCAATGATGATCGAAACAATTGCCCGGAGAGTGTAGTCGAGATCACCCTGCTGGAACTGAGGAATGACCTTGAGGAGCATCGAGTGGAGGGTATAAGACATGACATGAAGTTGGTAACCTCGCTTGAGAGCGCCGCGTAATTCCTTTAGGATGAAGCCAAAATAGGTCGGGCCGAGGACCGACGCAATCTGCACGAGAGTGTCTCTGGCCATCTCACGGGCATCCCAGGATTTACTGCGCAGGATGTGGCAGATATCGGTAAGAACACCAGCAAGCTTCTGACCCATTTCTTCCGATGGCAGAAGCTTGAGAAGCTTGACGATGATGACACCGACGGGTACACGGTAACTGACCTCGGACTCGTCCTTCTCGTGGATGTGCTTGACCAGAGGGGGAAGGAAGAGGTTATTGACGTCCTTGCTGAGCTTTTCTTGCTTGGGAGTCGTGAGTACAAGTCTCTTGTTGGTAGGCGTGGAGGTCTCTGAATCATCAATCTGCATCGCCTCGGCGCCCTTCTCTTCGACTGCGAAAACGAGAGCATCGCAGAACTTAGCAAGCAGTCGAATCACCTGCTTCTGGTTGTTGGGCTTGGACTCTACGTAGCTGATGTATCTTTGCAGAATAACACGATAATGCTTCCAGTCCAAAGACTGAGCCAAGTTGCCGATCGTGTTGGTCGCCTCAGCACCCAAGCCCTGGTCGTCGCTACCTTCAGCACGGCCAAAGATGAAGTGCTCGAGAAGAGGGATGAAGAACTGGCTCAGATTCTGGCTGCCAAACTCCGAGGTGTCGTTGACAGAGTTCAGCATCTTGATGGCTTCCAGCTGGCGTGCAGTCGCAGGACTGAGAATGTTGAAAAAGAAGGGCAACTCAGACGTTTCCTCTTCCGTATCACTGACCAAGAGCCCCTTCATATCCGCAACAGGCTCCCAGGTTGACATCTGAGAAAGAATGTAGCCGAAGACTCTCAAGTACTCTCTCCTGACGATGGCAGATTCCTCGCGAGCTCCAGTGTAGATAGAAGGTAGCAGAATAGTCTTCAGATGGGTTTCGAAGCCGCTCTTGGATGTCTCGTCTGAGCAGGCCGCCACCTCTCTGACAAATTTTCGCAGGGAGTCTGCAGAGTTCGATGCCAGAATACCATACTCCTCGTCGGAGCGAATGTAGTAGATCAAGTTGTGCAACAGAGGAAGCCACTGTTTGACAGTGAAAGGCGTTTCCTTGTTGGTGATGCAGTTGAAGGCGGCGAGCCGCTTGTCGTAGTCTGGCTCGTCAATGCGGTTCGGTGCGAAGGCATTGAGGTCGCGGCAGATTTCGGCAATCTCCTGGAGGGTGGTATCCTTCTCGGCCAAAACTGCAAGGACGCGGGCCAAAGATTGCCTGTTGTCCCTGTCTTTGAAGTAGCTAAAGAGAGAAGACAGGGTCTCAAAGATGGCAATATCGGCAGTCTTCTCTTCCGCTTCCTCGGAGCTAAGAATGGTGATGAATCGCTCCAGAATGAGGAGAACCTTGCCCTTGGCTCTGGGGTTGACTCGTCTCGGAGGCTGATTGAGGAGGAAAGTTGCGATCTTGAGTGTCTCACGCACGTTCGCTGAGGTCTCAACGAGGGGAGAAAGCTCGACAATGGTCTCAATGCAAGACTCGAGCAGTTCATTGCTCATGGTCTGCGTCTCCAGCGTGGTAGTGACGGTCTTCAACATCAGCTCCATGTTGGCATCCAGAAGCTCAGTACGGATGAGCTCATTGAACTCTGATTCCACGGCGGGTGCCTCTGCCAGCTTGATGAGGTTGCGGATGATGCTTAGGGCAAAGATCTTGACGTTTTCCTTCGCCTTGGGCATCGACACGCACTCTATAATCTTGGGCAGGATCTGGTCGTTGATCGAGATAAAGAGTGCTGCCTTTGGCAGCTGAGACCAAGTCGAGACAAGCTGCATGATGCTTGAGATTGATTGAGCCGTCTCAACAGGGAGCTTCTCAATCCTGGGAGCAACGACCTCGTTGACGATAGGTTCAGAGTATGGAGTCCAGTTAAAGTCTTGCGCATTACGGAACAGTGCAATGAGACACTTGACACCGACAGTCCGGATGGTCTTGAGCAGAGACTCCTGAGATTCCTCGTTCGTTTCCTCCACTTCTTCATCTGACTCGACGGTAGTGGACTCCTTGAGCCGTCGGCAGGCAAAGATGAGACAGTACAGAACAGGATTGAGCAGTTTCTCAACATAGGGACCCACGTGCTGACCAA